AAAAAAAAAAATACCACATATACATTACTCTTGACACTTTATGGTAAGCATGATGAAAGTTTTCAAACGTAATAACCACTCAATCAAAATAAACGCAAGCCCTGCAAAAAATAATATGATGCATCGTATAAGTTATTTCTAACTGCACGCCTTTTACACAGTTATAACGTCCAATCAGTAGTATGTCAAAGAACAACAGAAGTCATTCGATAAGACAGCATTTCAACAGAGCTGAGGAGAGTATGTCGTCTCGCCACTTTTCCATGTGTTGTCCTCTTGTCCAACCGTTGCACGACACATCGGACAGGTATGTTCATTATCAAGCCAAGTACCAATACATTCGTCGCAGAATACATGGCCACAAGTGAGCTGTAACCAATAAAACATTTGACGCGTTGCACCAGTGATTCAAGTTACTTCGCATCATTTGCCTCATTTCTCAGCGCGCTATAACTATTTCTGTAGTAACATTAACTATCTCAAATTCCCCACATTTGGTTTTATAATTTGTGCAGGCCATTTTTCTGCACGTAATCTGATCTCTAATTTTACTACAACAATCTGGGAAGCAGAATTTCTCAATCCCTTGCAGATAACGTAAAACCTATATGAAAGTAAAAAACAAAGATCTTTCAATAAAACATTTCCTGTAATATGTAAAGGCACTCGGAACCAGCTCAAACGGTAGTACATGTTAATAGCAACCAGTCGTCAACAGTGATTTCGGTGGCTTATTTTTGCAACGGTTAACTAGAAATGAACTGACGGTAATTCCTTGTCGAGTTAGCAATGTGAACGAATAGCAGAAACACTGGCTGTCTTGTTGGCGAAGCCGCATCCTTGAGTTCCATCAAGACAATGGAACTACTTGTAGTCAAAAGCAAAACTTAAATGATGCAGAAAATATCCGGCATTTACACACGTCATCTCCCAGAACAACTGAATGAAATAAAAAAGCGAACCCGGACAGGATTACAAAAATCGTTGAAGCAAATCGTACACTGCAATGAATAATCTTCTTCACTGGCTGAGACTTTTGTGCCAACGGATGTTAAGCGAAATACACGAAGTGTACTGTCAAACCAACGACGCCCAATTATTTGAATCAAACACACCTACAACTCGAAAAAAGATCTTCTGCACTGTCCCCTTTTTTAATATGAATGAAAAACCAATCCAAAAAAAAAACCCCATTTGAATAAAATCGCCTATTCATTTTTGTTACGTATCTGCAAACAAACAATGCAAACCTTATAGAGTACATAGATGATGGCGAAGAAATGATCACCAAAATATGCGAAAGGTGTCGAGAACACAGAATAGCTCAGATAACGCGCCCACTGCGGAATCGGCAAAAGATATCGATACATCTGACTTGTATATTCAACCCACTGGAAAAGACGCCGCAAACGCCTGTTTCCCATGCATTTCATCGGTAAAGCTGCTAGCTAAAAGAGTTACGAATTATGTTCTACAGGTAAGCGGCACAGTGAAATTTTTTAAGAAGGACACTTTTGAAAGTTTCTGGAGCAACGCTCCTATTGACTGATTATATCTCCAGTAGTAAATTATTATGCAAACAGTGCGTCAAAAGTCAAAACTCCTTCGCATTTACTATCATTGTAAGACCGGCAGCGTAACGCGCCAACAAAAAGTCACCCAATTTAACATGGATTTCGATGGTTTCGTGTTCTGAACGTTGCTCATAAGCAAGATGACGGCGGGTTTGACAGATTGTTATGTGTCAGTGTCAGTTTTCTGTAGAAATGAACTGTAAAAAAACTAGTTGCCCCGCTGCTTGAGCTGAAACGCAAAAGCTCAGGAAAAAAGCAGCGCTACTTGCCACTGCGCTAAGCCCGCCAGCAACACACATGTAATAAATGAGAATGTAACAATTAATGGAAATTACTTAAAAAAATGCAAAGGCACCTTCCCATCGACAATTTTCCAAAAGACATCTTCCCACTGATATCCTTTAAAAAAAGCGATGTACAAAGTAAAAACACACACCCCAGCTTTAAGCGCAACTGTTATAATCTTAACAGCTAGATCGGCAACAAGTACGACATGCATAGTGGCGAAAAAAGTGACTGGCTTGGTAAGGCGTGACATGAATGACATCGGCATCAGTACTGTCTCTAATCCTGAAAATTGAACAATTCTGGATAACACAAAATCTAGTGTTAAAAAAAAGAAAACACCCAGAAAAATGGCACGACGCGCAGTGATGACCTTAAGTCTCTCACCCAAAAAACAAATTTTCTCGCCTTTTACGACTTTAGCTCACTGGCGGTACTTTTAGAAATCTACGCATTTCTGCTTTCCTGTCCTTCCCGCTTGCTGAATGAGACAAATACGGAACGCATGGCTTCACCGACAATACACCTGTAACTACGGGCGGTCGAAAAATGGTATCACGAGAAAGCAGAGTGCCGAAACTAGCGCATCAGCAGACTGAAAGTGCCAACGAGAAGCATTCTAGGCTTGCGAGAACAAATACAGCGTGCAGCTTGAGAGCTGATCGGTGATAGCTTTGAAAATGAGCTTTCAAGGAGGCATGCAACATAGCACAATGTCGAGCATATTATCCTTCTTTAATTTACCTTTTTAACAAAACACATTTTATTTTATGATGCTTTTTGCTAAAAAAATTTGGTGCACATAATTGGGAATGCGGACTCTTAAGGGTAAAAATAAAATCGGATTTATCCTCACTGTTTCTGGATCCTCCGAGCAGTAATGTGTTGAATATCACACAACCAACTCTTGTATTCGAAAAAATTTCATTTCTCTTTAATCAAGATGCAGGGGTCTTCCTCCCCTCCTCTTTCGTATGCCAACTTGTTTCGTGTAATTTTTGATTTTTCGATTAAAAAAAATAGAAATTAAAGGTGACAAGTGAAATTGGAAGTAAAGCATACCGTAGAAATATGATTGGAAATTGAAAAAGAATATTGAGGAGGCAAAAGACTGCAGAAGATGGAAATAACGCCTTTCCCTGAAATTTCTGTATAGAATTTTACCAAAAGCAAATCGCTTTACTATGGGTTTTCTCAAGAAAGTTATTCAAAAATTAGTAGTTCAGCTTCTGCAAACTGTGCATAATGCTCAATTTAAAAACACTGCTTAGGAGTTTAAAATGACTCACTTTTTTGATAGTTAAAAAACCAACCTCAGAGCAGAAAGAAACGTTTTATTGGCAACGTGAAAAAAGACGAAGGCAATCACAATGCTGAGCAATGAGAAAAAACCATCAATTACCGCTTTTAAAAACACAATCACGAAAAACGGCAGAACATTGAGCAGCAGTACCCACAACTGGAATGTCACGCATTGATTAAAATAATTTTCACAAATATTTTCGAAAATATATACAGTCAAACGTGATTTCAGCGCAATATCAAGGCTTTTCATCCAGTCCATGAAAACAGAATCAAAAACATAACGAAAAATATGACAAAGAACGTTGCCTCTGCCCATCCAATGGTGAAGTTTATCCAGTCTCCAGCTAATGAATCTCTGTTATCAGTTTCCAGCTAATGCAGATCATGCGGAACTGCGAATCAATACATTAATTCTGTACTGAGTTCTTTCCATTCTTTTTCAATCGAATGAACAGTATGCATTTACGTCCTATTTGATGAATAAGTGCTTAAAACGTATCTACACAGCTACAAAATCTACCATCGAAAACCAAAAATACCATAACACGTTAGCGGATTTCAATGTTAGTGCTGTTACTGAGATGCTAACAAACGCAGAACTCAGCTATGTCAAGTCCTTCGAGAGGTACCCACCGCCTGTTCGGTGCGCACACGCCATAACTTTCGAAGGTGGTCGCTTACTTCCTCACCACTACCACTCTTCCATGTGAAACATTCACCAGTTGCTGGCAAGACAAGCAACATGTTCAGCGCATCAGATTTCATCTTCTTACGTGGCTGCATGATAACCTGTACGCCCCTCATCTAATAGACAGTTTGCTTGTGTAAAGCAAATTAATTATGACATGATCCAGGCTGCGATGTACACATGCAGGATGCCGCATAATATTCTATCGATTACCCGGGGAAGATCGTTTATAGGTTAATCCCTTATTAAACAGATGTAGATACACATCGCAATTTCCTAATCGTCCCTTGGCGGCATTCATTAGTTACTTTAAATTTCTAGCAGCCCTTCGCCCTCCAGTGAGCAACGGCTGTAGATCTGGTCGAACAACGCGACGGGTAATGGGTTCCGCCTCTATTTTCCTTCATTCATGTTGCTTCCCACGACACGTTATATAGAGCACACATTTGCACTTTTTGCATA